TCCCGTTCGGGGCCGCTGCTGTTTGAGGGGAAGGGGGGCTTTTGGCTGAGGAATGCGTTAAGTTGCCGGTTGAGGTGGTGTCGGTTCCACCAGCGCTGGGCTCCGCGTGTGCTGGGACCGCGGGGGCCAGCAGCGCCCGGGTCCGCCCGCGGTACAGAAGCGTGAGCTGTTTCAAACCCGTGCAGCCAGCCGTTACGAATCACGCACGAGGTTTTCCGGGAAGCCCTAGGTTTTAGTATTATGTGAAGATCCTCAGACTGGCAAATTGTATTTTAAAAAAATGCAGGTAGCCGGTCCTCCTGGTTTAAAGTTTTTTCTTCTTCAGTCCTAAGCTCTGATAATTTAAAAAAATAGGGAAGACATCATACTTTAAAAAAATGTAATGATTTTTGTACAGAATAATTCAAGTTTAATGCTAGCAACATTCCCTCAGTCCTGGTGAATGCATGGATTTGTGTGTTTGTTTGCTTCCTTGGGTTGTGGGGTTTTTGGTTTGTTTGGGGTTTTTTGTTGGTCCAGCATGTGTTCATGCAGTAAGGTGTTGAGCAAAAGAGACACAATGACATAGAGACAGAATGTGGATACCCCTGTCATGAAGTACGTCAAAGTTATTCAGTGTATGTGTGTTCTGTGTGTTCATGGAGTGTTTAGTTTAGTTTTGCAATGCTTATTTAACCCTGACAAATAGTTTGTGTTTCCTTAGTCCAGTGATGAGGACCTTCTTGACCACCGGTTGCTTCTGGCCTGCATCAAACTCATAACTCCATGTTGCCATCTTTCCTGGAAGCCCCTCAAAATCTTTCCATTATTGTATGATCAGAATTGTTTCTTTTTTTCTAGCCAGCACTTTGCATTTCTACACAAACCGTAAAAATACACATTTTTCATTTGCAGCTAGCACCGTGCCCTATCATGGTTGCATGGCTATCCTGGACAATGGGCTGTTTGCATCCTCTCTTACTTCCTAGGGATTTCTCTGTGGCTTGACCAGGCTGTGGCTATTCCTTGTCAGATGACTGACGTCTTTGGTCATGCACCAGAAGTGCTTTTGGTCATATAGTTGAGAAGGAATTTTTTTCTTGCAGATGTCTTCTCTTGCCTTCGCAGTGGTGTAAGTGGCTTGAGCTGACCTAAAGACTTTTTTTGCCTCTGCTCTAATCTCCACATACTGTTTGTGCATGAACTGCCCATCTTCCCAGTGCTATTTGTTGTGGAATCCTCTGCTAAAGACACTAAAATGTAGAGCAGTTATGATTCTGATTTCAGAAAAACTGTAATGTCTGTCTACAGTTTTTTCATGTTTTAGAACTTCATATCAAAGCAAAACTTAAATATGCTTTATGTTACTTTTTTGTAATCCATGCTTTTCAAAATGGTGATAGGTTTGGTGTTTTTTTTTCATATAACTGTCTAGAATGTGTACAAATCTTAGCGTATTACAATTCTTGTTCCTTACATACTTTGGACATGTAACAGTTCATTTTTCTGCATTAAAAAATAATATCCTGGAGACCATCTAGCAATGTCAGAAAACAGAATAAACCTCAGCTTTAGTTAGAGAATTATGCTTTTTAGTTAATGTATCAGAAAGGTAAACAGTCCCACAGTGGAGTTAATCTAACTCTGGAAGTCAATGCACTGTTAAGACAATTCATTAACACCTATTTATATTAATAAGAAAGGAATTGTCTTTAATGAGGCAATATGCTTTCAAAAAGGAAAGAGTTAGAAAAAGTAAGATGTCCTTTCCAGTTGGAAGCAAAAAAAAGTCTTAAAAGAAAGCTTTACATAATAAAGGAATTGGATGTCAGCAGTTTCTAAGTTAGTATTAGAATTCTTAAAGGTTATGTGCTTGGCTTATGATGTAGAATCCAAAGCCAAGATCAGGCACTTCACAAAGGGTGGCTGGGGAGATGAGAGAGGTGATGCACAACACCTGCACAGGGAGCAGTGAGACTGACCCACAAGGTAATGTGACATTGGTGTGTTTTAACTCTCAGCCTTCTCTGGAGCTAAAAAAGCTTGTCTGTCTGTGTCTTCCACATTCATATAGAATTGTATTTAGAAAATAATGAAAATTTGATTTGAAAACCCAGGTTTTTTTGTTTTCCTATGATTGTGCCCGCTTTACTCTGATGTGCTAGCACTGAGGTATGTAGGGGAAGGCCAGGGTCAATAGAGATACCATATGAGTCTCCAAAATCCCATGGTTCCCTGTTACTGGGGAATGACCAGAACCTTGTTCATCCCAGCTGGGGCTAAGTAAGGTGTCTATCTTGAGACAAGAATGGCTGTGATTCAGCAAAAGTCTGATGTTTTAGAGGTCTCTTGTTTAAGAGACAATTTATTAGTACTTTCAAGAGTTTGACGTAGGCAATTGTCAAGTACTTTGGAAAGTCTGACCCATTTTTCCATAGTTAGCAAAGTACTTGAATGTTCACTTAAGGACATGCTTAAAATCAAATGTGCAATTCTGCTGATTTCAATCAAAAATAGCATGACCTTATAAAAAGAGGCTCAGTGTCTTGGTAGTGACAAGTCAGAAATACTGTAATTGTGAAACATGTGTTGTAAGTAAGAACTCCATGTAATTTGCCTTGTGAAAGACCAACTCAAAATGGATACCTCTGAATCTTTCACACACACTCCCAACCCTGAAAATGGGCAAGTGCAGATGTGTGTGTTCCTAAAGCCAGCGTGAAGATATGAGGATTTGGTCATTCCCCAGTAACCAGGAATCATAGCTTTAGCTATGTATTTATCAGTCCAGAATAATTGCCTTATTAATAGTGAAGCTTCTGGAAGTGCTATTAATTTACTCTGTGTGCAGGTAACTTCTTTGAAGAATTTACCTTCTTGGTGACTTTTTAAAAGTTTTTTAAAAAAACTTATACAGAATAAACTTAGATTTTAATACACAGGTCAGTAAATTCAGTTGCCATAGTAATAGAAAAGCACTAATACTGTAATTTGCGTTTGAAAACCACAAGTACCAAACAAATTGATTCACTGCCAGACAGAAGTAAATATGATGCTGCTTCCTTGAAAGCCCAAGTGTCTTTTTGTGTGAACTGATAATAAAGTTAAGGGAGACTTTCAAAGATCAGATAAAAGGTCTCAGAAAAAAAATTACGTAGTTTTAGCTGATACAGTGCTGTGTTGTGGTATAAATCTGACTTTCTAAACTGCACTTTTTTTTTTTTAGTACTGGTTATGTCACTAAGGGTCTACATTAAAACAGTAGGTTATGTTATTTTTTTAAATAATTCTCTTTTCTCAAAACCAGTTGGTATTTTATTTTCAGAAGGGCAGGAAGTTTCACATATCTTAAATGGCAGTATGCAGCTTCCAACTTGAGCCTGAGGAGTCAAAAGTGCTGGGTACCTGCACGGGAGCACTGTGGCGTGGTCTGTGCTGATATACGCTCTTGCTTTATGCAGTTGATTTCTTCTTGAGAGTCGTTTTTGCGTATTTACTAGCTAGTAACCATTAGAAGTAAATGGATTCACAGTGAGGGCAATGTTTTAACAAGGAAAAGTAGTAAACCAGTTTCTTAAATGCAACGTTTTAAAAAATGTTTGATGCCAGCATGCTTACGTGCTGGGTATGAAAGAATGTTGCTTACTATGGAAAACTTTGCAAGTGAACTGCTTATTTACAGTCAACAGCGCATAGGAGAAGAAGAATGATGTGTAAACTATGATGTGCATTATCCCCCAAATGGAGAGTTCTGGTGTAATGCGCTGATGTGTATGTTTTAAGTAAGTTTAGGAGAGTTACAGGAGAAAAAAATACTCAGTAATTTAAGAATCCTGTATAGCTGGGGGTGAGTTATTTATGGATTAAGTGCATTAGTCAGTAGCAATCAAATATATAGTCTGTGAAGCATTTGCTTCAGGTGGACAAAAAGTCTATAGTAGATTAATAGTGAACAAACATAACGGCTTGAAACTGTTACTACTGTAGAGTGAATTGTTGGCCTACTTGGTTTACAGCCTTTTAAACCTGCCTAAAGATGTAGGTAATGTGGTACAAAGACAGTTCAAAATAAATTCTTAATTGGACCGTTACCAAGCAGTCTGACCAAGAACAATTTTTTATTCTCAGTCTGCTTTCAGTATTTTTTTTGTAATATGGTCTATGATATATTCATCACTGCATTAGTTGTCCCCTGTTTCTTCCACTTTCTGTACAGAGTTGAGCACAGTCTGTCAGGTGTAGTGTGGGGTTTAACTTTCTTTTCAGCATCAGGCACAGGAACAGCTATTGCTGAGGGCAGAGGACTGGCTGCACTTTCAGCCTGTCATCAATCTGAGGTGTGTTCCAGTGTGAGAGGGATAGAGGAGGGCTTTACCATGGGCATGTAGTGACTTATTCCTAAATCTGTTTCCTGTTAAAACATCTCCAATGCATGACGTTTTTATGAACTAGTAGTTTTTTCCTGACATTCAGCAGAATTGTTCCGGTTCTTTTTTTGTTATGAAGTCAGAAGAGCCAGTAAAATATCAACTTTTTATATTAGCTTTTTTTTTTTTTTTCTTCTGGAAACCCTGTTTCATTTAAAATGCATCTCAGAAATTTCAGTCCCCTAAACATTTCATGTTTTTGAGGTAATGACATAACAAACTTAGCTGCTTTTGGAAATAATTTAGCATTCAAACTGAAATATATGTGTCAAATTTCAGCCTTAAGCAAATCCTGACTGGCAAAATTCTAAGAGTTGAAGGAAAATAGCTGTATTTTTGCAATGGAAATATCAACTCAACCGTAACGGTTTGTGGCATGGATATATTAATGGATTTATAATTCATAAGAGATTAGAGAAGGTATCTATAGATACTTTATATTCAGAGTTTAACAAAATGGTTTTCTTCTAGTGAATGAACAGTCAGTTCAACATGCACATTTCTTAAATGATGACTTAGGAGTCCAGTTCGTTAAGTGAAAATATACGTTGTATATCTTGGAGATTTACATTGTTTGCTCTTTTTTTTCTTAGGAAGCCTGACAAATAGGAAAATACTACAAAGTGAAGAGAAAATTCACGAGAACTGAGCTCTGCTTTCGTTTGCTTTTGAATTTTATTTGTGTTAATAACTGATTAGTGTCAGATTATCTCTGTAGTCTACTGTGGTGAAATTATTAGGTTAAAGCTGGAAAAAATGAAACAATTGAAAAGAAAAAGAAAAAGCAATTTTAGTGTTCAGGAAACTCAAACTCTCCTTAAGGAAATCAGAAAAAGGAGAGAAGTACTCTTTTCAAAGCAACTTAATACAACAATTAATGAGATGAAACGGAAAGCTTGGGAGGAAATAGCAGAGTGTGTAAATGCTGTAGGTGAAGGAGAGCAAAGAACAGGGACAGAAGTGAAAAGGCGATACCTTGACTGGAGAGCACTCATGAAGAGAAAACGTCTGAATGCAAACATCAAAGTAGTAGGTGCTGGGTTTCACCTTCCTTCATCCAATTTAGATGACTCTCTCAATGAAGATATGGATGAGAAAATGGGATTTGCAATTGAATCTAGTTTTGAATGGCAAAATATCACTGACTTCAGAGGAGCCGGTGGATCTTTAACAGAAATCAAAGTAGAAGAGGAAGAGGAGGATCCGCAGAATTTTGAAGTGAGTGACTGACATACGTTAGCTATATGCAATATGGCCTTCCTGTCATTTCAGCTTAAGGCTTTTTGGTGTGTTACTTCATAGCATCTGTTTCTGTTTTTTTCTGAATGTGTGAATTAAAGAAACTGTAGAAACAAATACGTTTCAGAGAGACGGTATTCAAATCTAGCAGCTTGCAAATGTGTGCAAGGTCTTGGATGTTGATTGTTGAATTGATATCCCTCAACTTCGAATATGTATTTGCTCATATATTTTCTATTTGTATGTGCCACGGATAAGAATTAGTTCAGTCAGTAGAATGAAAGTACACTGTTGAAGGAAACTGGTGGTGTGAATACATAGGCTGTCTGGATGGATGAACAGAGAAGAGAAATGCAGCTCTTTAACAAATGAAAGTATATTTTACTTGCAGGTACAGAAAGAAATAGAATACAGAAAGAAATAGAATACTGTTTGCATTTCTTAAAGTTAACCCACAGAAGATGAAAATATTACTGGAATAAGTCAGTCAGCCATTCTTCTATGTCAGAATTTTACTGTGAGTTTGACAAGCAGCTGTGGATTCTGTGAACAGGCTGTTACTCCTAGTAGTACCGTGACTGTCCTGGGGTAGGCAGCCAGCTAGAGTAAAGTTGAATGTTTGGGTAGCTTTCTTGTGCCTGTACAAATATAAAGTTCTCATTTCAAAAAGGGGTACTCAAACAGATTTGGTTTGGGTTTTGGTTTGGGGTGGGGGAGAGCAACTCCAGTTTAGCTCAGTTGAGATGTATGCTGGGAATAAATCAGCATAAGCTGTTAAATGGTAGTGGGACTACGGTCTGACAGCTGCTGAAGAATGCTGCCTGTCTGCTCTGATGCTAGAGGCTTGGCAGCAGCTCTTAAGATTCTCTGAACCTGTCTCTTCCTCAGTTTGCTTTTCTTTTGCAGCATACTTAGTGGGAGACAATTATCCCTTGTCTACTATGAATTTGTAGCACACAAGGGCTATAATTCTGCATGAGTTGTCACAGTCTGCTAAGAGCAATGGTCCTAACCACGTAGTCACCTGTGTCATAAATAGTTTTTCAGTGAATGTGATAACACAAAATTGGTTAAACAGGTCCTGTTTATTGACACACTTAATACAGTTAGAAGGGTTAGGAGAACGTGAAAAATGTCAGTGTTAAATGTGTTTTAGAAATGGAATCCTCAAGTTAGTGGAGGCTGTGTTAGCTTACATACCACGTAGCTTGTGGATCCAGCTGCCCTAATAAATAGTTAGTCACAACAAATTCCTAGTGGCTTACATAAATGTCACTCAGCTATATGAAAAGTAAGGACAACATACGCTATTTCAGATACAGTTTTCGATCAGTGGTTCTGAATGCTCAATTGCACCTATTGTGCAATATTTTCTGCATGTTCTTGCACGTCCACTGACAAACTGATTTTCCATTTTTCATTACCAGATACTAACTTGCAGATAAAGTGTGTTTCTCCACCTACGTAAAGGTAGAAAACAGTCTTTTGATCTAACTTGGTTATTTCACAGCATGCAAGTTAAACAGTTCTGAATAACTTTTAAGACAAAAAAACCAATATATTATTTTCAGTCAACTTGTGTGTAACAAATTTGTTCTGGCATAAAGACTGGAATGTAATTCTTGTCTGTCGCATTCCTCCCTGCAGTTCCCTATTGAGGAAGAGGAAGAAATTTTGTCGTCAGTTTTGCCAGATTCAAAAAAGGAAAATGACCTGCCGGACTTCCCTCACATTGAAGAGTTTGGAAATCTGAGCTCTGCTCAAGCTCGGCTAGCCTATGAAGATTCTCACTTGCTCATAAATCTGGAGAAGCAGAAGGTGGAGCTGGAGAAGCAGCGACTAGACATTGAAGCTGAAAGATTGCAAGTGGAAAAGGAGCGCCTGCAGATTGAAAAAGAACGTTTGCGGCATGTTGACTTGGAGCGTGAGAGACTTCAGATTGAGAAGGAGCGACTTCAGATCGAATGGGAGAAACTGAGGCTACAGAGTCTGCATGCTGAAAAACCTGCCCTGGAAAATGACCTCACCCAAACGGAAAAACCCATCATGCAGCCTCTGGATCTAGAAACTGAAAAGTTAAAACTTGAAAAAGAACGTTTGCAGTTAGAGAAGGAGAGGCTGCAGTTCCTGAAGTTTGAGTCGGAGAAGCTTCAGATTGAGAAGGAGCGCTTGCAAGTGGAGAAGGAGCGCCTTCGAATCCAGATAGAGGGTCACCTGCAGTGAACTCCTTGACTGAAGTGTCAGCAGTAGTGTTTTGATGTTTGTAAAATAGACGTAGTTCTTCTCTTGATACTGAAATTGTCCTAGAGGGTTAACATTCTTCTGTTCGCAGTTGAATGGTGATGTTAAACGGAAAAAGAAAAAAAAAAAAGGTGCTCAATATGTGAGTGTGCCTACATAAATGAGCTTGTGTGTGAAACTGCTTTTCAGTGTATCAGAACTAAGTGTTATGTTCTCTTGTCTTCAGTATTGTGTTGTATTAGTTTGGTGTCCTCCTCTCATAGACACATTGAGAAGAATCAAGGCTGAACCTTGTACTTTTTTACTGTACTAACAGTAAGGAAGGATCAGAATAAATCAACATATGTTGTGAGGGCGTGGTGCTGATGATAGCCCACGTAGTAAATAAGTTAGAACACAATAACAGAGTCATGATGCGGTTGATTCATTAAACTTAAGTTCCCCTTTTTGGTTTTTTTTCTTGCCACCTCCACAATTGGAAAAAGCGTTGAAGAATTATTTCAAAGTTAAACTTTGAACTGTTCAGTTAAACTGAACGAGTTCAGTTCACTGCAGTTATGTTTACTGTGGTTCCAGGGCTTGAACTGAATGGGAGTGCAGAAAATAGTATTCTTCCTTTAGCATGAAGTATTAGTAGCAGGTAAAGTTACACATCAGCCATGCCTACGGTCAGCTGGACTGTTGGTTGCACCAGGCCATTAACAATGCCTCATGGACTGTAACATCTGTCTTAGGGTAGTACAGGGACTTGCTGATTCCGCAAGCATGCTGTCTGATGAGTCTGTGATGACCCCCTGAAGTAAATTGTTAGACCTGGTTTGTTCCTTGGAAGACAGTAGCTGGTGATGGGTGTCGTGGAGGGCAGGCACAGAGGCTGAGCACAGACTAAGGAGCACTGAGCTTGCACGCCTAACGCTCCTCATGTTAGTTCTGTCTGGCCAGCACTGAGGTCATGTGTGGGAGGCAGCCAGAAGAGACTTCTGTGGCTGACACCAGAGTATGTTTTAATTAGGCAAACAGAAAAGATCAGTGCTGAAGGCTGTGAGTACTTTTCATAAGCAATGTATTAATTTAAAATAATAAACCCCCCCAAAAAAAACAAGGAAGCTTTCTATTATTTCATATATGTTTAAATCCTAACTGAGCCAGACTTCACATTTCTCATCTTTGTGCAAGTAACTATCTCTTGTTGACTCCGTTTGAAACTTTGGACTATGAGAATACTAAATCTGAATATATGTTGAGTGACTTACAGGGGTTCTTGTGCAAGTAAATATATTTATACCACTACAGGATTACTTTTATTCTTCAAAGAAAATGTTATTTTTTTATTACTGAAACAAGTGTGCTTCTACAGTGGAAATAAATTTGACTACCACAAACAAAAATTGCTTTTGAGACTGTGTTTCTTCACAGAGAAACAGGGTTATGTATGAAGAGAAACCTGGGTACTCTGTACTGCGGTGCCACAAAGTTGCTGGTGCCTGTGTTCCCTGAGTCATCTTGGAGTAGGACTTCAGCCAGCCAGCACTTGAGAGAGGAGAATGGAAGGAGACACAACCCAGCTGGGTAGAAGTGCCCCAGGGGAAAGTGTATCTGAGATTCTTCTTCCTGAACATGGTGGGTTGACCCTGGCTGCATGCAAGGTGCCCACCAAAGCCACTCCATCACTCCCCTCCTCAGCTGGACAAGGGGGAGGAATATGACAAAAGGCTCGTGGGTTGAGATAAGGACAGGGAGAGATCACTCACCAGTTACCCTCATGGGCAAATCAGGCTCGACTTGGTGAAATTAATTTATCACCAGTCAAATCAGCGTAGGAATGGGAAATAAAACCAAATCTTAAAAACGCCTTCTGCCCACCCCTCCCTTCTTCACGGGCTCAACTTCACTCCCAATTTTCTCTCCCTCCTCCCCACTGAGTGGCACAGGGGGACGGAGAATGGGGGTTGCGGTCAGTTCATCACACGTCACTCAGGGGTAGGACTCCTCACACTCTGCACCTGCTCCAGCGTGGGGTCCTTCCCTCAGGATCCAGTCCTCTGTGAACTGCTCCAATGTGAGTTCTTCCCATGGGATGCAACTCTCCACGAATTGCCCCAGCGTGGGTGCCTCCGACGGGCTGCAGTCCTTCAGGAACAGGCTGCCACACGGTCGGACCCCCATCGGGGACCAAGCCCCGA